TGCCCGTAGCCCAGAGCTGGACCACACCAGCAGCTGCGAGCATGATCACAGCCTGCCCCTCGGGTCAGGGTGGAACCTGCTGGTGCGTGACGTCCTACACGCACGGTCACGCCTGGCCACGCACGGTCACGCCTCCTGAGTTTAGGTTTGAGCCACACTTAGAATATTCAACTTCTTTTGTATGGATGTGCACTTTCAGGTACCTGTGGTAGCTGCAATCTGAAAATGTTAAATGGCAAAGCCCAGAAGTGATTCCTAAGTTTTAAATCATGCGTCATTTTTTTTGGTCCTGGGGCTTGAACTCAGGACCTGGGCACTGTCCCTCGGCTTTTTCTCTCAAGGCGAGTGCTCTACCACGTTGAGCCACAGCGCTGCTTCTGGTTTTCTGGTGGTTCATTGGAGATAAGAATTTGACAGACTTTCCTGTGCAGGCTGGCTTTGAACTGCAGTCCTCAGATCTCGGCCTCCTGAGTAGCTGGGATGACAGCGGGAGCCACTGGCGCCCGGCCGTCCCGCCCCCGCGGATGGGAGCCTTGAGCCCACGCCGTGTGTGCGGCCCACCCGTGAGTCCTCCCACGCCCTCACTTTGCACCTGGTTTCGTCTGATGCCTGCTGCGGTGCTGATGCTGGCAGCGCTTTCTGTGCTTTAGCGCCGGGCCTCCTCTTCTTACTTGCGTTTTCCCTCAAGGCTGGCATTCTGCCACTTGAGCCACTTGAACCCATTCTGGCTATTTGCTGGTTGATTGGATTTTCATGCCCCAGTGGGCTCCAAACTGCGATCCTCAGATCTCAGCCTCCTCAATGCTGGTGCTACAGGCATAAGCCAGAGCTGTCCAGCAAAGGTGGGAATTCACCTCACGCTCCCCCCCACTCCCCGACCACACACACAGCCGGGCAGAGAACCTCCGTGTCTGTCTCACGCTCCCACCTACGGGGGTCTAGCAGGGGATTTTCCCTGGAGTCGTCTCTTTTCTTGGGTTGGACGGGGTCGTGCTGTGCCGCCGTGGGCCTGTTCTTCCTGCTGCTGTGCTGCCCTGCGTGTGTCCTTCGGAAGCTCCCCGGTGGCCTTCCCCGGCTCAGCCCGGGGCCAGCACCGCGGCCCCCCAGCACTGTGTTTCACATCCCCCGGCTTCTCCCGGGAGGGGCCAGTGCTCACAGAGCTGACCGCCCTCCCGCAGCACAAATCAACGTTAAATCACCTCACTGTCTACTCCAAGGGTCTCCTGGGCGGGTGAGAGAGGAGGACCCCTGTGGGGAGGGAGAGGGGGCTGTCTTCCAAAGACCAGCAGACATCTCTCCTATCTGTACTTTGTGCTCTAGTTCAATCTGGAACAGTTAACTCCATAAGAAGCCGAGTTCCTGCCAGAGAACCTGCTGTGGAGTGGAAGCAAGATAAAATAGCTTTCCCCAGAAAACCCTGGCTGGCCGCAAGGGTGGCGGTGGGGACTTGGCTTCACCTGGAGACGCCGCCTGGGCCGCTGCTCGCAGAGAGGATGCTGCAGCCTGGCCTAGCTCCCCCTCCTCCCCCCACCGCGGCCTGTACCACCTCCCCCCCCCCCCCCCCCGGCTCTGACTGGGGGTCCTTGCCAAATACACATGTGACTTGGGTGTTTCATTTCATGGAAATCAGTGACAGCTCATGGTGTTCTTCCAGTCCATTTGATCAGCTACGTGATCTTTTCCTGTGAGAATTTATTTGAAGTCCAGAATTCTTGTTGTCCTGGGGTTTGAACTCAGAACTAAGGCACTGTCCTTCAGCGGTGTCATTCAAGGCTGAGCAGTCTCGTGGACTTTGCTGCCTAGACCTACCGGCTTTAAACCATGATCCTTAGAGCTCAGCCTGCTGAGTAGCTAGGATTACGCACGTGAACACTGGTGCTCAGAATAGACTTAAACACCATGCAGTTTTGGATATCTATGGGGGGTCTGGAAATGCATACCCTAGGATTTTGAGACATACCATTTTATATCCTTTTTTTTTTTTTTTTTTTTTTTGGTCAGTCATGGGGCTTTAACTCAGAGCCTGGGCGCTGTTCTTGAGCACTTTTTTGCTCAAGGCTAGTGCTCTACCACTTTGAGCCAAAATGCCACTTCTGGTTTTGTGGTAATTAATTGTAGATTAAGAGTCACAGACTTTCCTGTTTGGGCTGGCTTCAAACCATGATCCTTAGATCTCAGCCTCTTGACTAGCTAGGATTATAGGCGTGAGCCACCAGTGCCCAGCTATGCCCATTTTTATTACCTAGAACATTCTACCTAGTTTGTATTCTCTGCTCTGTTATTCAAATTGATTAATATTTGATCTTGTAATAGTAATGAAGATATGCTAAAGATTTGGGTCAAAAGCCATTTACCATTAGTTATTGGAACCAATTTTTGAGGATATAACACATGTTTAAGGTATTTTAGTCATTTCATCAAGAGGAGGGAATTTTTTTTAAGTCTTTATGTATTTCCCGTTTGGCTCTTACGAGGGAAAAACAGTAACCTGTGTTTATTTTAAGTACAGGCTAGTAGACCCCTGACACCTTGTCTGTTTTCAGTTTGTGCTCACTGATTTGGTGTTGGAGTGAAAAGGGAGTTCTAGGCTGTTACTCCTGGTGTTCACGTGAGCCTAAGAGCCATTCCAAGGCCCAGAAGGAGCCTAGGTCTGCCCAAGATGGCTGGGAGAAAGGAGGGATTGTGCGTGTATTACTTACAGTTTCTGGTTTACACTTCTAGATCTCCTCTCGTGATGCTTCGGATAAGACAAGGAAAGCAGTGGGCTTTAGCATGCCTGTGTGCAATTCTGTCATTTGGATGTGGAGTGAAAAAGATGAGCATTTCTTTTAACTTCTTCCAGTTGTCCCTGTTTTTATAATGCCCACTCTATACTAGTTCTTAAAGGCTATTTGTGTGTATCAGTACTGGTGCTTAAACTCCGGGCCTGGGGGCTGTGCCCTGGCTTTTTTCACTCCAGGCTGGTTGCTCTGCCACTTGAGCCACGCTTCTACTTCTGGCTTTGTGCTGGTTAATTGGAGGTAAGAATCTCACAGACTTTCCTGCCTGGTCTGGCTTTGAAACTTGATCCTCAGATCTCGGCCTCCTGAGTAGCTAGGATATAGTCTTGAGCCACCAGTGCTTTATAATGTAATAGCTCTTCAAAGTTAAATAACAGTTTGATTCATTGGGGGAAAAGTACTGGGTTTCAGTGAGGAGATAGAAATGTAGGAATAGGATAGGTTTGTTTGTATTTAAGGGGGAAGAGAACAGTAGTTTGAATAACATGAGCACTTCTTTTTCTGGTAAGAGACACCTGGGCAGCCTGGGCATCAGAGACTCTGTCTCCAGGGCGCTGCATCCCCTTTCCAACTGTTTCCTTCCCTCCGTACGTACGTGATGTCCATCTCAGAGCCACCTGAGGCTGGGCGGGGTGAAGGGAGCCCGGTTACTAACCTGGGATGTTGTTCGATGTACCCTCTCTCTTTTTCCTTGACTTCTTAAAAATATTTAGTGAACTCTTTAGGATGCGCCTAGGTTTCAGGGCAGAATTGAGCAGAATAGAACTGCCATGTGCCTCTCTCTTTCCTGTGGAGAACGTAGGGCTACCCATTTGTCAGAACCTGGGTGAGGCTGGGAAACGACCTTCTAGCTGGGCTGCTTCTGCCTCCACTTACCCTGGGTGGGTCACCGAGCAGGCAGGAGACTGAGTGTGCCTCGCACCTCTCCTCTTACAGCTTTTTTTTCTGTCACAAAACCATTTGGTATTTAACATTTTTTCTTAGTTATGCAAAAAGCAAGTCTGAATTATAAGCCTTAAACTGGTCTGTTTTAAGAGCTGATCTGTTTTAAAAGCTGTTGTTTGTTGGTATTGAGATAAACTATGTATGTTATGCGCTTATTCGGAATTATTAAGGGCTTTCTCTTAAGCACTGAAAAATCATTGTATATTATACTAAGAAATCATACAGCTATACAAAACATTCAGAAGCAGGTATTTTATGTTAATTGGGAAGCAACCTGTTTTATCATGGGATTTGAGAGAATGCTTTATTTATGGAGAAGATAATGCAGCTTTTAAATCTTTTAACTTGTGGCAGTTCTACTGCTTAAATTCAGGGCTTCCTGGCTTGCAAGGCAGGTGATCTACTGCTTGAGTCATGCCTCTTGCCCAGTTTTTTGCCAGCCCAGGGATTGAACTCAGGGCTTAGGCACTGTCTCTGAGCTCCTTTGTGCTCCAGGCTAATATGCTACCAGTTGAGCAACAGTACCACTTCTGGCTTTTTCTAAGTAGTTTATTGGAGGTAAGAGTTTAATGGGCTTTCCTGCCTGGGATGGCTTTGAACCATGATCCTCAGAGCTCAGCCTCCCGAGTAGTTAGGATTATAGGCTTGAGCCACTGGTTCCTGGCTCCAATTTTTAAGTCTTATTTTTTTTTTAAAGTTAAACAGCCAAGTGCCAGTGCCTCAGGCCTGTCGTCCTAGATACTCAGGAGGCTGAGATCTGAGAATCAGTTTAAAGCCAGCCTGAGCAGAAAGTCCCAAGACTCATTTCCAGCCAGCAACCAAAACCCCAGAGCAGAGCTGTGTCTCAAGTGCTGGGTAGCAAGAAAAGCTCAGGGACAGCACTCAGGCCCTGAGTTCAAGCCCCAGCTCTGGCACCAAAACCAAACGTTAGTCCAGTATTGTTTGGTTTTTGGTTCTTTCTAGAGTTCAGCTGTTAACTCATTTAAACTGGGTTCATCATTAAATCAACCTGTATTGATTTCCAGAGAGCCCATGGCCGGGGTGCTTTTGCCACCCTGTCCTTTGTCTTTAGAGAAGGGCCAGCGTGGTGGCCGATCCCGCCCTGTCCTTTGTCTTTAGAGAAGGGCCAGCGTGGTGGCCGATCCCACCCTGTCCTTTGTCTTTAGAGAAGGCCAGCGTGGTGGCCGATCCCGCCCTGTCCCTTGTCTTTAGAGAAGGCCAGCGTGGTGGCCGATCCCCTCACAATGAATGTGGTCTCTCTCCTCTCTCCCCAAGTGCCTACTCCTTCCACGTCACCGCGGACGGCCAGATGCAGCCTGTCCCCTTCCCCCCTGACGCCCTCATCGGACCCGGAATCCCACGGCACGCCCGGCAGATCAACACGCTCAACCACGGGGAGGTGGTGTGCGCCGTGACCATCAGTAACCCCACGAGGCACGTGTACACGGGCGGCAAGGGCTGCGTCAAGGTCTGGGACATCAGCCACCCTGGCAACAAGAGCCCCGTGTCCCAGCTGGACTGTCTGGTGAGCGAGCGCGAACCGGGGCAGGAGACCCCGCGAGGAAAAGGCCGTCCAGGCCTGGGTTGTGTTCTCATTAGGAGGAAATGGAGGCCCTTCCTGTTTCCTTTGTTAACTGCTCAGCGCCCTCCACCCGCCCAAACCCTCTCTCCCCTAAGTAGGCCTCATTTGTTAGATTCCCAGGGCTGAAGGATTTTCCCCAGTGTAGTACAGTGGTTTGTAATGATCTTACTATGTAGACTTACACTGTGGAAGGGTTCTCCTGGGTTCATGAAGAGCAATGCGGCCAGGCTGGTCTCCGATCCTATGATCCATTCCGTGCTTCATTTCCCTACAGCCTGCAGGCGATAGTGAACTGAATACACTAGGTGCAGGGTCTGTGATAGACAGGGAGGCCATCGGGATTCACTGCCACGGCCTAACTGGGGGAGGATCACACTGCGGTCACACTGTGTGCACACTGCGGGCACACTGCAGACACTGCGGGCACGCTGTGATCATACTGCGGGTATACTGCGATCACACTGATCACACTGCGGGCACACTGCAATACACTGCAGACACTGATCACACTGCGGGCGCACTGCGATTACTGTGGGCACACTGCAGATACACTGCGGGCACGCTGTGATCATACTGCGGGTATACTGTGATCACACTGATCACACTGCGGGCACACTGCAATACACTGCAGACACTGATCACACTGCGGGCGCACTGCGATCACTGTGGGCACACTGCGGATACACTGCGGACACACTGCAGTCACACTGTGGGCACGCTGTAGTCATACTGCGGGCACGCTGTGATCACACTGCGGGGACACTGCAGACACTGGTTACACTGCGGGCACACTGCTATCACACTGCGGGCACTGCAGACACTGCGATCACACTGCGGTCATGCTGTAATCACACTGTAGACACTGCCAGCACACTGCGATCACACTGATCACACTGCAGGCACACTGCAGACACACTGCAATCACACTGCGGAGAAACTGCAGACACACTGCAATTACACTGCAGAGACACTGCGGGCACACTGTGATCACACTGCGGGCACACTGTGATCACACTGTGGGCACCCTGATCACACTATGGGCACACTGGACACACTATGGACACACTGTGATCAGACTGTGGGCACACTGCGATCACACTGTGGGCACACTAATCACACTGAGGGCACACTGCAGTCACACTGTGGTCACACTGGGCACACTGTGATCACACTGGGCACATTGCGATTACACTGTGGTCACACTGTGGTCACTGCGGACACACTGCAATCACACTGCGGACACACTGCGGGCACACTGCAGGCACACTGATCACACTGCGGGCACACTGTGGACACACTGCGGGCACACTGCAGACACACTGCGGGCACACTGTGGGCACACTGCGGTTACTCTGATCACACTGCGGACACACTGAGGTTACTCTGATCACACTGCGGGCACACTGATCACACTGCGGACACACTGCGGGCACACTGCGGGCACACTGATCACACTGCAGGCACACTGATCACACTGCAGGCACACTGCGGACACACTGCGGGCACGCTACGGACACACTGCGGGCACACTGCAGACACACTGCGGGCACACTGCGGACACACTGCAGACACACTGCGGGCACACTGCGGGCACACTGCAGACACACTGCGGACACACTGCGGACACACTGCGGGCACACTGCAGACACACTGCGGGCACACTGCGGACACACTGCAGACACACTGCGGGCACACTGCAGACACACTGCGGACACACTGCAGACACACTGCGGACACACTGCGATCACACTGCGGGCACACTGCGATCACACTGTGGGCACACTGCGGGCACACTGCGGGCACACTGCGATCACACTGTGGGCACACTGCGATCACACTGCGGGCACACTGCGGGCACACTGCAGACACACTGCGGACACACTGCAGGCACACTGTGGGCACACTGCGGTTACTCTGATCACACTGCAGGCACACTGGTCACACTGCGATCACACTGCGGGCACACTGCGGGCACACTGCGATCACACTGTGGGCACACTGCGGGCACACTGGGCACACTGCGATCACACTGCGGGCACACTGTGGTCACATCGTGAGCTGTAGCAGAGCTGTGGAATAGAACATGGGTGTGCTCCCATGGCCTTGAAGTTAACCTCAGGGTTGCCATCAGCGCTTCAAGTCAAAGTCTGTCTGGAAGGGTAAAAGTAGTTCAAAGGCAAGCTGGGCCACGAGGTCCTCATGCTTATATTTCTAACCACTGAGATCTGAGGATAATGGTTCAAAGCCAGCCTGGGCAGGAAAAGCTGTGAGACTGGTGACTCTAATTCATCTTTAATTAATCACTCAGAAGGTGGAAGTAGAGGTCTGGTTCTAGTAGAGCACCAGCCTAGCACGACAAAGCTAAGGACAATGCTTGTAGCTGAGTTCCAGCCCCAGGGACAGTGTTCTCAAAGAGCTACATTGCTGTCCTTTTGAGACTCAAAGAGAACATTTTTAGGGCAGTGACTGGTGTTTTGTTGGGCTTTTAGTACTGTGACCTCTGATGCTGTCACTCACTTGAGCCACACCTCTAGCTCCAGCCCAGCTTTTTGCAGGCTGTTTTGGAGATGGAGTCTCAAAGACTTCTGCCATGGCCGGATTCAAACCATGATTCTCCAGATTTCAGCCTCTGACTGTTGTCATTTAGTCAGACAGCTTAAAGTCGCCTGTGGTGATAAACCCTTCCAAGACCACCACTTGGGTGGCTGAGGATTGCCAATTCAAATCTAGGCCGGGCAACGCAGTGAGACACTGCCTCAAAATGGAAAACAAAAAACGAATAAACGACATTTTACGATAGCTTAATATTCTGCAGCAGCAGATGCTGCGTGCTTCCGTGTGCCCCGGCCTTTGAGAGACGGGCGCTGTTGGAGCAATCCCGTCTTTGGATTTGCGTTGGGAGGTGGCAGCTGCTTCTTCTGAAACTGGGTCACAGGAGGCCACCCTGCCCCTTTCCTCACAGGTGGTGGCGTTGATGGCAGGCACTTTCTTTTACCTGGTTTTTGGTGTTTGAGAAGACTTAGGACACAGCTGTCCACTAACTGATGAGATAAGAATCTTCCTGACTAATGAACACCTAGGCATTTGGTGTTAAGAACAATGGAAACTAGAAGGTCAAGGGGGAGAAGGAGTGAGCGGGGAGAGGGAAGGTGGGCAGTCCCAGCCGTAATCTTCAGTGTGCTTGTGTGAAAATAGAGCCAGATAGCTTGAGGGGCCCGGTGGGGGGGGAGATGTAAGAAAGGGTTGACATGCTCAAGATGCATTGTTTGTGTAAACCGATAGGTTAGATGGAAACCCATTTGAACAAGCACTTAAAGACAATAAACACAGCTATAAAATAACAAGAATAATGAAAACTAAAGCGTATTCAGGGGGTCTGCAGCTTCCAAATTGTGAATAATGGAGAATGCAGAGATTTGTGGTTAGAAAATGCATCCCTGCATTTCTTACACTGACGCCTCTCCTCTAGATGCTAGGAAACCAGGAGCAGGTGCTTAGCTTCCCACTTGGTGAACAGTCCCGCAAATGTGTTTCATTCACCTCCATGTTGCTGTTGTCAGTGCTAGGCCTCGGCCTCGGCCGGCGTGCTGTCCGAGGCTGGCGCTCCACCTGCTTGAGCCACACCTCCACTTCCAGCTTTTTTTTGTGGTTAATTGAAGATAAGACTCGCTGATTTCCCTCCCTGGGCTGGCTTTGAACTTTGGTCCTAGATCTCAGCCTCGTGCGTAGCTAGGATGACAGGTTTGGGTCTTCATTCACTCAGGAGGACACAGTTACACCTGGACTCTGGTAGTTCCTACCATGTCCGTGAAACACCTCTCCCGAGTCAAAACCCAAGCCGCAGTCAGAGGCCCGCCCCGCTTACTGCTCGGTGATCCATTGTAGCAACCCAATTCTGTTTATTTCACAGAACAGGGATAACTACATCCGGTCCTGTAAGTTGCTCCCGGACGGCTGCACGCTCATTGTGGGTGGGGAAGCCAGCACCCTGTCCATCTGGGACTTGGCGGCTCCAACCCCACGCATCAAGGCAGAGCTGACGTCTTCGGCCCCCGCCTGCTACGCCCTGGCCATCAGCCCCGACTCCAAGGTCTGCTTCTCCTGCTGCAGCGACGGCAACATCGCCGTGTGGGACCTGCACAACCAGACGCTGGTGAGGTGAGTCCAGGTGGCTTCTGGGGAGGGTCCCTCCTTTCAGGGGTGGCCCTAAGAGGCCTGTCGTACCCGCGCACACGCATGTGCACACGCATGCACACGCACACGCACGCACACTTCTGCTGGGTGCCCTGGGGCACATGGCTTCAGGAACCTACTGTTTGCCAGGAGTGAGGCGTAGGCGCTTGGAAGTTGTGGGCAAAGACCAAAGCCATAGCAGCTCTGCGGCCCGCAGGACCCAGCGTCCCTGAGACTCGCCTACGCAGAGGGGCTGTGAGGGCTGAGGTCTGCGGCGGGCACGGCTGGGTGGACGGGGTGGGAGTGTGGCAGAGCCGGGCTTTGGCTAGATCCTTGTTCATGGAAACCAAAGCCCACAGATACACTATAACAGAAAACCAACGAAGGACTTTAGAAGAGGAGATTCCATGAAGGGGACACAAAGCGTTTTAAAGCACGGTGGTTTGTCCGTGGCCAGCCAGGACAGCCAGGACGCGTGCCCAGGAGAGGCCCTGCTGACCCCTGAACGAGCCCCAGCCCTAGTGGCACAGAGGCTCTGGGGAGAGACAGCAGAGGTGCTCCAGGAGTGTTGCCAGCAATGCACCAATCCAAGGGGGAACGTGCCTGTGTTTGGCTCTTTTCCCTTTGCTTAGAGACCGTCGTTGGAGATGTACAGTTAGAGGCCCGTGGCTTCCTGGGCAGGTGCAGCCAGTGCTTTCGAGCTGGTGAGCTTGTGGAGAGACCGCCTCGCTCGTGCGCTCCAGACCTCAGTCGTGCAGCCGGGGCTGTGTCTGTGTGTGGGTGGTGCCCGTGATGGAGGCGGGGTGAGCAGAGTGGACCAAGACAGACAGCCCCTCACACCCACACCGCTCTCCAGTCGTGGGCCTGGGCGCTGTCCCTCAGCGCTTCAGCTCAAGGCCAGCGCTCTACCACCTGAGCCACAGCTGCTCCTCCGGAGTTCGCGTGGTTAGTGAGAGTCGCACAGATTCTCCTGCCCGGGCTGGCTTGGAGTCCTGATGTTCGTGCCTCAGCCTCCTGAAGGGCAAAGGCCATGGCCGGAGCCACGTGACGGGAAGCCTCAGCATGCACGGGGCTGAGCTGGGGGGGAGGGTCACAGGGTCCTGGAGGCGTTGGAAGGGGCGGCAGGCAGAGGGGGCGCGGGTGATGGCAGGAAAGTCTGTCCAGGCCTGGCTGGTGGCGGCAGAGCCGGGGGGAGGCCGGGACGGGGCCTGGCCCTGAATGCATGCAGGGCACGCAGAGGACATTGTTCTGTTTTCGAGGGTGCTTTACCTGAGGCTCCGAGGAGGGCCGCTGACCAAGGTGAAGCCACTTCTGTGGGGTGATGCGGCGGACGCCTCCCTCTCGCCTGCGCTTCCCAAGTGGCTCCTCGCTGAGACTCGCTCATGTATCCCCGCACTGCCCCCAACCCCCAGAGTGCCAAACCCACGGCACCCACAGCAACCACAGCACCCACAGCCCCCAGCGTGCCAAGCCCACAGCACCCACAGCACCTACTACACTCACAGCACCCAGTGCACCCACAGCACCCACAGCACCTACAGCACCCACAGCACCACAGCACCACAGCACCCATAGCACCACAGCACCCACAGCACCCACAGCACCCACAGCACCACAGCACCACAGCACCCACAGCACCCACTGCACCCACAGCACCACAGCACCCACAGCACCCACAGCACCCACAGCACCCACAGCACCCACAGCACCACAGCACCCACAGCACACACTGCACCCCAGCACCCACAGCACCCACAGCACCACAGCACCCACAGCACCACAGCACCCACAGCACCCACTGCACCCCAGCACCCACAGCACCTACAGCACCCACAGCACCCACAGCACCCACAGCACCCACAGCACCCACAGCACCCCAGCACCCACAGCACCCACAGCACCCACTGCACCCCAGCACCCACAGCACCCACAGCACCCACTGCACCCACAGCACCACAGCACCCACAGCACCACAGCACCACAGCACCACAGCACCCACAGCACCACAGCACCCACAGCACCACAGCACCCACAGCACCCACTGCACCCACAGCACCCACAGCACCACAGCACCACAGCACCCACAGCACCACAGCACCCACAGCACCACAGCACCACAGCACCCAGTGCACCCACAGCACCACAGCACCACAGCACCACAGCACCCACAGCACCACAGCACCCACAGCACCACAGCACCCACAGCACCCACAGCACCCACAGCACCACAGCACCACTGCACCACAGCACCCACAGCACCCACAGCACCCACTGCACCACAGCACCACAGTACCACAGCACCACAGCACCACAGCACCCACAGCACCACAGCACCCACTGCACCCACAGCACCCACAGCACCCACAGCACCACAGCACCACAGCACCCACAGCACCACAGCACCACAGCACCACAGTACCACAGCACCCACAGCACCCACAGCACCCACAGCACCACAGCACCCACAGCACCACGGCACCACGGCACCCACGGCACCCACGGCACCACAGCACCCACTGCACCCACAGCACCACAGCACCCACTGCACCCACAGCACCACAGCACCCACAGCACCACAGCACCCACAGCACCCACAGCACCACAGCACCACGGCACCACGGCACCACGGCACCCACGGCACCCACGGCACCACAGCACCCACTGCACCCACAGCACCACAGCACCCACAGCACCACGGCACCACGGCACCCACGGCACCCACAGCACCCACAGCACCACAGCACCCACAGCACCACAGCACCCACAGCACCCACAGCACCCCAGCACCCACAGCACCACAGCACCCACGGCACCCACAGCACCACGGCACCCACGGCACCCACGGCACCCACGGCACCCACAGCACCACAGCACCCACAGCACCCACAGCACCACAGCACCACAGCACCCACAGCACCCACTGCACCCCAGCACCCACAGCACCTACAGCACCCACAGCACCCACAGCACCCACAGCACCCCAGCACCCACAGCACCCACAGCACCCACTGCACCCCAGCACCCACAGCACCCACAGCACCCACAGCACCCACTGCACCCACAGCACCACAGCACCCACAGCACCACAGCACCACAGCACCACAGCACCCACAGCACCACAGCACCCACAGCACCACAGCACCCACAGCACCCACTGCACCCACAGCACCACAGCACCACAGCACCCACAGCACCACAGCACCCACAGCACCACAGCACCACAGCACCCAGTGCACCCACAGCACCACAGCACCACAGCACCACAGCACCCACAGCACCACAGCACCCACAGCACCACAGCACCCACAGCACCCACAGCACCCACAGCACCACAGCACCCACAGCACCACAGCACCCACAGCACCCACAGCACCACAGCACCTACAGCACCCACAGCACCACAGCACCCACAGCACCACAGCACCACAGCACCCACAGCACCCACTGCACCACAGCACCCACAGCACCACAGCACCACTGCACCACAGCACCCACAGCACCCACTGCACCACAGCACCACAGTACCACAGCACCACAGCACCACAGCACCCACAGCACCACAGCACCCACTGCACCCACAGCACCCACAGCACCACAGCACCCACAGCACCACAGCACCACAGCACCCACAGCACCACAGCACCCACAGCACCACAGCACCACAGTACCACAGCACCCACAGCACCCACAGCACCACAGCACCCACAGCACCACGGCACCACGGCACCCACGGCACCCACGGCACCACAGCACCCACTGCACCCACAGCACCACAGCACCCACTGCACCCACAGCACCACAGCACCCACAGCACCACAGCACCACAGCACCCACAGCACCCACAGCACCCACAGCACCACAGCACCCACAGCACCACGGCACCCACGGCACCCACGGCACCACAGCACCCACTGCACCCACAGCACCACAGCACCCACAGCACCCACAGCACCACGGCACCACGGCACCCACGGCACCCACAGCACCCACAGCACCACAGCACCCACAGCACCACAGCACCCACAGCACCCACAGCACCCCAGCACCCACAGCACCACAGCACCCACGGCACCCACAGCACCACGGCACCCACGGCACCCACAGCACCACAGCACCCACAGCACCCACAGCACCACAGCACCACAGCACCCACAGCACCACAGCACCCACAGCACCACAGCACCCACAGCACCACAGCACCCACAGCACCCACAGCACCCCAGCACCCACAGCACCACGGCACCACGGCACCCACGGCACCCACGGCACCCACAGCACCACAGCACCCACAGCACCACAGCACCACAGCACCCACAGCACCACAGCACCCACAACACCCACAGCACCACAGCACCCACAGCATCTACAGCACCCACAGCACCCACAGCACCACAGCACCCACAGCACCCACAGCACCACAGCACCCACAGCACCCACAGCACCCACAGCACCCACAGCACCACAGCACCACAGCACCCACAGCACCACAGCACCCACAGCACCACAGCACCACAGCACCCACTGCACCTACAGCACCCACAGCACCCACAGCACCACAGCACCCACAGCACCCACAGCACCACAGCACCCACAGCACCACAGCACCACAGCACCTACAGCACCCCAGCACCCACAGCACCACAGCACCCACAGCACCCACAGCACCACAGCACCACAGCACCCACAGCACCCCAGCACCCACAGCACCCACAGCACCCACAGCACCACAGCACCACAGCACCACAGTACCACAGCACCCACAGCACCACAGCACCCACAGCACCACAGCACCACAGCACCACAGCACCGACCAGGGGTGCTTGGGGCGCCACTGCCCTCCTGGGGGACGGTGCAGGGTCAGGGCCCGGCTGGGGCTGTGAGTCAGGCTCAGCTGTCGTCTTGTCCCTGCCCGCGGCTCTGAGGTCAGGGTGCTGCCGTGACCTTGCCTCTGGGGGCCCCTTTCCCAGTGCAGGGATCTTTCTTACTCAGAAAGCAGGGGAGAACAAACGGGTGCGCTCACGCTGGGTGGGCAGCGATGGTTTCACCCTGTGATTCCCTTCTGGAATGCGCATGCTTCTGTCCCTCATCCCTGCAGTGTGTCCTTCTGGCTGAACACACCTTTATCTTTCCCTTAAAGAATATACTGGAGGTTTTGTGAGGTTTTTGTCGCTTTGGGGCTTGAACTCGGGCCTGGGCACTACCTCTGAGTTATTTTGCTCAAGGCAGTGCTCTACCACTTTGAGCCAGAGCTCCACTTTCCGTTTTCTGGTGGTTATCTAAGAGTCTCCTGGACTTTTCTCCTTGAGCTGGCTTTGACCAGGATCCTCAGGTCTCAGCCTCCTGAGTACTAGGATTACAGGGGTGAGCCACATGCACCCAGCCATTGTTTTTAGTTGTTTTTTTTATGTTGTTGTTACTTTTAACTCTTTTAAACATTTTCCAGACCTGGGAGGAGATGGATACATTTATCAAGCAGTTATAGTACCATATTTGACTTCTGGCTAGTGACTTCCAATGGGATTTTTTTTTTTAGCCTTTGGATGACAAAAAGAAAAAACAAGAAAAGAAAGACACGGAGTGTGCAGGTGTTGCTTCCTGTCCGCTGTGGGGAAGGTTAGCTTGATCTGTAACGTCAGCACACTGAGGAGCTAGCACACCGCGAGTCCAAAGCACACACCACCACAGTGTTTACCTCGAGCTCTGGCAGGAAGTCATTATTCAATCTGGTTTGTTTTATCAGGCAATTTCAGGGCCACACAGATGGCGCCAGCTGCATTGACATTTCCAACGATGGCACCAAGCTCTGGACGGGGGGTTTGGACAACACGGTCCGGTCCTGGGACCTGCGCGAGGGCCGGCAGCTGCAGCAGCACGACTTCACCTCCCAGGTGACTGCCTGCTCCCACCCGTCCTGGAGCCCGCATGGGGGTCTGCGTGTGCGTGTGTGCACGCGTGTGCGTGTGTGCGCGCGTGCACACGTGCGTGCACCATCCTTCCCAGCCCAGCATTGTGCTGTGTGGACAGACATGACAGGATTCAGTTTGAGATCATTTAAACACACACACACACACACACACACACACACACTCCATATTCCCCACTCCCCCAAAACTTTTCGAGTAGTTTCTGAAACCATTTAGGCTAAGGTACCTTGGAATTCATTCAGTGAAAAACAGACAAGTTTTTCTTCAGTTTTTCTTTAGTCTGTTGTACCAGTTCTGATATGGAGTCAGAAATGATCATTTGATTCCGTTTAAATGGAGCTGGAAGAATGTGCCAGGTAGAGAAAAATCACCACAGCTCTAGAACTCATTTCCTCTGCATCACAGAGCTTTAAAAAAAATTCATCTGTATCTCAGATAATAATGAATAAAATGGATGCCCATTTTATTACCCATCTCTTAAAAAATGGACTCATGGCTAACTAGATCTGCAGAGGTTTGAAATAATCCAAACTTGTGGAGTGTGAAGTGCTGGATGTCCTGTGTCTGGATCAGGACTTGTGGAGTGTGAAGTGCTGGATGTCCTATGTCTGGATCAGGACTTGTAGAGTGTGAAGGCTTGGATGTCCTGTGTCTGGATCAGGACTTGTGGAGTGTGAAGTGCTGGATGTCCTATGTCTGGATCAGGACTTGTAGAGTGTGAAGACTTGGATGTCCTGTGTCTGGATCAGGACTTGTGGAGTGTGAAGTGTTGGATGTCCTATGTCTGGATCAGGACTTGTGGAGTGTGAAGTGTTGGATGTCCTATGTCTGGATCAGGACTTGTGGAGTGTGAAGACTTGGATGTCCTATGTCTGGATCAGGACTTGTGGAGTGTGAAGACTTGGATGTCCTGTGTCTGGATCAGGACTTGTGGAGTGTGAAGACTTGGATGTCCTGTGTCTGGATCAGGACTTGTGGAGTGTGAAGACTTGGATGTCCTGTGTCTGGATCAGGACTTGGGGAATGGCAATACTTTTTTAAATATGTCAAGCCAGAAATAGGACACAGACAAAACAAATTACTGGCTAATAAGTTCTATGTCCCCAGTGTTATTCATAGTCTTTCTTGTCTGCCCTTTCCTAATATGTAGGATATTAGTTTTGATCCTCTCCTTAAAAAAAAAAAAAACACAGCAAAAAAACAAAACACCAAAAAAACAAAAAAGAATGGAAGCTGTCTTGTTTGTATTTCGCTTTGCTCAGCAGCACCAGGGTTCAGTCTCAGCTTTTCTTGCTCATGGCTGGTACTCTGCCTCTTAAGCCACATCTGTGGTCTAGCCTTTTGCTAATTGGAGTCTCTGGCTAGCTTTAAGACACAATCCTACAGGTCTCAGCCTTCTGAGAAACTGGTGTAGGCCACCAGCGCCCGGCTTGGGACGGAAGCTCTCAAGTCTCTAGGGATGCAATGCAGAAGACATGGCTGTCGTTCAGCCCTAGTGGTTACGGTCCTGCCACTGCATTATCCTACCACAGGGAGGCTGAACAGGGCCTCTCTCTTGCTGAGCAGGCGCTGCGCCCCTTGAGCCGTGTCCCCGGTTGCTCGTTGCAGTGCTGTCTTCAAGCTAGGGCCTCACTTCCTGTCCAGGCCAGCCTGGCGGTGGTGCTGGTGTGACAGGCCTGTGCCACCGCACCCGGCCGCTGTGCTGCCCCTCGGCTGAGGACGACGGGTATGCACCGCACGCCTACCCATCCGGCCACGCTGGCCGGATGCCTGGGCTGTCCTTGAACCCCGAGCCCTGGGTCTCTGCCCAAGATGACAGACGGGAGCCGTGGCACCCAGCAGTGTGGTTGGTGCTTTCATTTCCATTATCTCTACCCAGAAACCAAATCACTTTAAAGTAAGTCCTAGATATGATGCCATTTCATCTACCATGTTTCAGACAAGCTCTCCTTTGAAACACAGGAGCACGCATCTTTTGCTTTTACTTCCTTGTTTGTTTTGTTCTGTTTTGCTTGCCCTTGGGTTTGACGGGGAGCCTCCCCTGCCGGCCGGCCCTCTGCCGCTCCAGCCACCCTCCAGCCAGCGTTTTGCTGGTTATTTTTGGAAATGGAGTCCTTCGGGTCTGTCTCCATGTAGCTGGGATGACAGGCGTCAGCCTCTTGCCCAGCCTGCAGATATCAGTATCATTCAGAGCACTGCCTTAAGCCGGCCACACAGGACGGACGCATCCACAGGCTGCCGGGTGCTTTTTCTTTTTGCTCCTGCCTCCTCTGTTTGGGCTCTTGGTCTGGACTGGATGATTGCTGCCCCTCCTCTTTGTCATCCGCCTCCCCCCACCTTCTTGTTGCCCTTTGGTCTCTAATGTCTTGAGCAAAATGCTGAGTGTTGGGGTTCTGTTTCTTACAGATCTTCTCTCTGGGGTACTGCCCAACCGGAGAGTGGCTGGCCGTGGGCATGGAGAGCAGCAACGTGGAGGTTCTGCATGTGAATAAACCAGACAAGTACCAGCTGCATCTCCACGAGAGCTGTGTGCTCTCCCTGAAATTTGCTTATTGTGGTGAGTTCAACCGAAGGGAGACGGAGGCTGCCGCAGGCCTGGTGGGAAATACTTCTGACACAAACTATGGGGGATGTTCCCTAGCAGCTGCCTACCACGTTTCTCTTGTTTTAGCACGTCCCCCAGAGCCCTTTAGTAAAGCCTGATTCAGTCTGCTTTGCTAATTTGAGAAAAGCCAGCAGGCGATGACATTGCCTGACACACACGTTTGTTTGTGGGGTGTGAGGCCGTGGCCCCACCCTGAAGAGGGGTAGGTGGGAGACAGGAGGGAGCTGTAATGGGTTGGCCAGGGTGGAGACCGATGCGGGTTACGCACAGACTCGCTCCCTTCGCAGGCAGCCAGGGGAGCTGTGCAGGCGGACGTTGTGTGTGTGTGTGTGTGTGTGTGTGTGTGTGTGTGTAGGCGGCTTACATTTGTTCCCTGGATGTGTGAGTCGGTGGCTGGAAGGGCAGCACACACTCGCAGAGCACATGCTCCGTGCCATCTGACACAAGTGGCATTTTATAGAAGTTCAAACCTTAATGCTCTGTAAGCTAATCTTCTTAGGAGGAGACTAGCGGCGGTGGAGCAATTTAATTGATTAGGTCTTGGAGGCCCCAGTGTGTTAAGAAATGCTGTTTTAAGGCAAGGATCCCGTGACTCATGAGGCTCATACCTCTTTGATTATATCTGGGATCACCGGAGGATTCTAGATTTAAAATCTTGGCTCAGGTCATCAATCAGCTCTTTGGGTGTGTAGTTCATGCAGTAAAAACATTTGTGTATGGCTGGGTATCTGGCTCAAACCTGTATTCCCAGCTACTCAGGAGACTGAAGACTGGGGTTCAAATCCAGCCTGGGCAGGAAAGTCAGTTACTAAGACTCTTATCTCCAATTAACCACTAAAAATCAAAAGTGTCAAGGAATAGAGTGTTAGCCTTGAGCAATAATTCTTAGGAACAGAACCCAGGCCTTAAATTCAGGTCTAGGCCCAACACACACACACACACACACACACACACACACACACACACACACACACACGCGCGCACACACACACACAAATACAAGCAAAAACATGCTATATTTGAAGTTGAGCACTGGCGATTTGTACCTCCCATCCTACGTACTCAGGAAGCTAGGATTTGAGAACTGTGCTTCAAAGCCAGCCTAGGAAGAAGAGTTTTAATCTCTAGTTAACCACTACCAAAAGGAGAAGTAGAGGTGTGGCTCAAGTGGTGAAAAAGCCAGGTGAGAGCATGAGGCTGTGAGTTGAAGCCCTGGTTCTGGCATTCTCCGCTGAGCGCCGGTGGCTCACACCTGTCATCCTAGCTACTCGAGAGCCTGAGAGCTGAGGATTGTGATTTCGAAGCCAGCCTGGGCAGGAAAGTTCATGAGAATCTATCACCAATTAACCACCAGAAAACCAAAAGTGGAATGTTAGCTCAAAGTGGTAGAGCACTAGCCTTGACCAAAAAGCTCTGCTACGGCCCCCAGGCCCTGAGTTCAAGCCCATGACCAGGCACACACACACAGAAGCAGAGGCATGCACAGAGAGCTGCATTTGATGAGTGCACCGCAGGCATTCCCCCTTGGTAACACGCCCCTCCGTGGTTCATTGCAGGGAAGTGGTTTGTGAGCACTGGAAAAGACAACCTTCTCAACGCGTGGCGGACCCCCTACGGGGCCAGCATCTTCCAGGTGGGTAAGCGCCGGGGATGGCCCGGGAAGCCCCTTGCAGAGCTGCCCCAGACCCCCGAGCGTCCCTGTTTCACGTGAAACACGAGTCCGCTGGTTTCTCTTCCAGTCCAAAGAGTCCTCGTCGGTGCTTAGCTGCGACATCTCTGTGGATGACAAATACATCGTCACCGGCTCCGGGGACAAGAAGGCCACGGTCTATGAGGTCATCTACTGACAACCCGGTGTGATTTAACAGTTAGAGTTGAATTGGGCCAAAACGTTTAAATCTGTAGAAATAGAGACATTGTAACTTTAAAGAAAAAGAAAAACAACAACAAAGAAAAACCCAACAAACCTGTTTCCAAACCTTGACACAAAACGACTTGGAGCGTAGGAAGAGGAGGCAGTGGGTCTACCAGCAGACGCCCCCCGCCTGCCCGCCTAGACCAGAGCAGCGGAGGCCACAGAGCCCGAGGGTGGCTTCCAGCTCTGGCTGCCCGCTCCGCCGCCCTCTCTCCGGGATCTGTCGCTCATCCTGGCCCAGTGTGAATCCACCGCCCCCGCCTGACGTCCTTTGTAGAGCCCTGGTGTCTCCAGTGAACTCGCTTCCTGGTTTTGCATCTTGTGAAATGTTTTTTGTTTTGTTTTGTATTTTTGTTGAAGGTTAAACATTTGTATAAATTGTAAATATATTTGGTTTATTACAGTAAAGGCTTTAGTACCAATAAGTGACTCTCCTTTTCCTCTTTTATGGTTTGTTTTGTTCGTCAAAGCTCTGGGTCATGAATGCATCGTATGAGCCAAACGTGTGCTGGAGGAGGGTTATAAACGCATTCCTCACTCGGATATTTGATCGAGTCCACGAAGCACCTCTGGGTTAATAGAAGCTCAACACTGTGGATAAGCAGACGCATATTAATAATGATTTAATTTTGTAAGCTAAGCCTTCTTCATCAAGACTCATTCTTTGTTAGGAAGTTCTTGTGATTCAGGGTTACAGTTAAACCTCTACCTATTCTTGGTGACTTTTGGCAGGTTGATTATGTCTTTTCTTTAGCACTGCCCTAGATTTTCAAGTCTCGCTCCTTTCTCTTCACTGCTTTGGTATTTGCTTGTTTGTGTTTGCCCATCCTGGGGCTTGAACTCAGCCCGGGGCTCAAGTGCTGAAGACTAGTGTTCTACTTGAAACGGAGCTCCACTTAAGGCTTTTTGTGGTTAATTGGAGATAAGAGTCTATGGACTTGACTGCTCTGGCTGGTACCAAACTGTGATCCTCAGATCTCAGCTTCCCGAGTAGCTAAGATTACAGGCATGAGCCACCAGTGCCCAGCTTTGTGTTTTAAGAAAAGTAGGTATGCGGGCACTGGTGGCTCACACCTGAAATCCTAGCTACTCAGAAGGCTGAGATCTGAGGATCTCCGTTCAAACCAGCCAGGAAGACAAATCTGAGACTCTTAACTGCTAATTAACCACCAAAAAGCCCAATTTGGAGGTGAGGCTCAAGTGGTAGCATACCAACCAGCCTTGGGCAAAAAAAGCCCTGAACTGAAGCCCCAGTACCAACACACACACACACACACACACACACAAATGTAGGCAATTTGAGTTTTGTGTTATGATTTACAATGCCCAGAAAACTATAGAGTTCATTACCCTATAAAAGCAAGGTGAAACATTGGCTGGATTTGTCTTTATTAATACCTATTTGATCTATTAATTTACTTCTCCAGCCGGGCCCAGCACTCAGCCCTCATCTTGGTGGGGCTGTGTCCCCGCAGCTCCAGCTAGTGCCAGCCAGCATTAGTCTTTGCTCTTTATCTTTGTGAGCAAGCTTTTACTAATTTGATTAGATGAAATCTGTAACCCTGGGCTTTTAATAAGTTGCCGAGCGTGTTTTCTTCCTGGAAAAAAGGTTACATGACTCATTCTTTATATACCAGTTATCTATGATTATATTTTGGGAAAGAATGGCTTACAATGTTAAGCCTGTTTTCCTAGCTGTTTTAAAAATAGCATGCAAGGATCTTTTTTCTGTTCTTATGTCTTATGTTTTCTTAGGATGTAGTGAGTAGTTGGCAGTTTGTCTTAATAGTTTGTCATCAAGACCTTCTTGTTTTTATGTGTTTAATACACATCGTTTTGTTTGCTTTTTTTTGCCAAGAAGATATTTGTTTGTGGACAGAGTGTGTTAAATATTTTTCCTTCTCATTAAGCAAATGGCAAACCCCTAATTATTAGAGCTGATTTCTCTATCATTCCCTCCCTTGTATAATGAAGTAGGTTTCTGTACTGCAGATTCTGATAGCTTATTAGTGTGGTGTTTACCTTTTCTGTTCACCTTCCTTGCTTTTCTAATATCAGGGTAAAGGTTCAGTTGCTAAGACAGAGACTCAGCTGCACGGTGTTCTGTGTCGGCCCAGCCAGCAGTGCAGCTTTATGCTTACCTTCACGTCTACTTCCCTTCAGAGGGAACAAGGGAATTTTTTACCCCTCAAGTCTGGCATTCTACCTCGTGAGCCACAGCTCCACTTCCGTATTCTTGGTGGTCCATTGGAGATAGGAGTACCGCTTCTCACCTTGATCCTCACATCTCAGATTCCCAAGTAGCTAGGATTACAGGTGTGAGCCGCCGGCGCCCCCCAGGTGTTCGTTTTTAAGCAGGTAAAAGGACTTTATTCCATCCCTTCCAGTTGCCCGTTCAATGGCAGAGCTAGTCACCTGGCACATCTGGCTGAAAGGGGGACCAGGAAATGGCCTTGCCTGGTGCAGCCATGGCCCAGCGATGGGGAGAAACATCGAAAGGATTCTGAACTAAAGAAATACTTCTCTTTTCTGTTGGTGGAATTTACTCTATTTCCCTTCGTGCCTAAGTGTTATCTGGCTTCTGCATTTTTCTTACAAGGAGAGAGTAGACCTCAGCCACGCACAGGTCATCTTGACTTTGATCTGACTTGGAAGGAGAGACCAGTTTGGTGATGAGTCCTGTAAGAAGAGAGCCTAGTGCCGGGGGGAGGGTGGGTGCTGCTATAAACTGGGGAGAGCTTGGGATCATGGGAAATGGTCCACACAATTGATCAGCTTCCCATTTGTAGAATAGGACTTAGAAAAATCCTTGAACCTGACTTGCAAGGTTGGGAGGACCAGACGGATGGGTGCAGGATTGAGCACAAGGAGGATATCGGGAGGATCTTAACCTACACTGGTGTTCAATGCCACTCCACCTACCATCTAGGAGATTGGAATCTGTGCTCATGGATCCAGTAAGCTGTGTGTTATCCTGCCCCTTGCCTTGATCATCGATGACAAAATAGGGTTCCCCATGTTCAAATCCAACTAAAACGGTGTGCTCCAAGAGCCATGCTAGACAGTTCCGCCTAACTGGGCTCAGGGTCATAAAGGATGTGAACCATGGTCAAATTTGCGGTGTAACTCTATGCTTTCAGAATGGGCTGTGCTTTTTTTTTTCTACTTCTCCTTTCATGTAAGCATGTTACTGTGCACAATTCCTATAGCACTTCTGTACACCATCATAAATATAGACGCAGGTTTGGGTCCGTTGAGTAACAAAGTCAGGTATGTAAAAACGTGAATACTGTACAGAAGGGTTACAATGACATGGGCAAGATAATGAGTGCATTTCTTATCAAGCATTGTAGCCTCCTTTGTTTCCCCTTCCCATCCCTTCCCATCCTCCCCCCTCCCCCACCAAAGTTGTACAGTTCTTTTTCGACATAACGACTTGTACATCTCATGTTGCAATGGGTCCACATGTATCCCTATTTAAACGATTTGTTTTTCCCCTTCCCCTCCACAAATTATACCAACATTAAATACAGTGAAAGCAGGGGTTATGCCGTGGGGGAGGGACATACAAAGCAACAAAGAAATAATCTTATAAATGTGTCAGAAACAATCGCATGAAAGAAAAAAAATATTTGAATACATATCTTAGGGTTCATTCCCCTAACATCAACGTATCTGACCTTTTCTGCTTGTCTCAGACATATACTAGTTATTGCAAATAAGGGAAACCATGGGACCTATGTTTCTTTGGGCCTGGCTTACTTCACTTAATATAATTTTTTCCAAGCCTTTCCATTTCCTAACAAATGGGGCAATGTCATTCTTTCTGATGGAGGCATAGAATTCCATTGTGTATATATGCCACATTTTCTTGATCCACTGAGGGGCATCTGGTTTGGTTCCATATCTCTTCATCTCTTATGTTTAACCTTTTTTGATTTATTTAATCTTTTTCTTTGGCCACTCTCCTTTGTGTCCTATCTTGTACATAGCTCTTGTATTGAACTATGTTTTTTAAAAAAATCCCAGTGAGATTGGTGGAGTGTTTAAATTTTTATTAGTTAAATGTTTCTAGTATTTGCGTTGTAAGAACAAAATATTGGTATGATTAAGCAGTTTTTAAATTTTATATTTTTGTGCCAATCCAGTTTAGGAGCTGTCCCTGAGCTATTATTATTATTATTTGTTCAAGGCTAGTGCTTTACCACTTGAGCCACAACTCCGCTTCTGGCTCTTTATGGAAATTAATTGGTAATAAAAAGTCTCACAGATTTTCCAGCCCAAGTTGGGATCCTCAGATCTCAGCCTGTGAGTAGCAGGATTACAGACATGAGCCACCAGCACCTAGTGATAACTAAGGTTTTTGGTAGCAATTTGGGTAGTAATAGGCTGGGTATTTGATACAAATCTTAACCTACTGGTGGCTGAGAGCTATGTTATAATTGTTAACTAACAGCTGGCTGAAGAATGTTCAAACAGGTTTAGTAAAAATTGGACTTGGACTTACATGTTGTGACTTTGCCAAAGCTTTCCAACAAACCACAGAGAAGGCTCAGAGTGTTTAATTTCAACACATTGCTTAACTGTCAACACGGATGCCTTCAGTGTGAGGGGCAAGATCTAGTTGGGTACATCTCAGCACAGTTCACTCTAAGTCAGATTGGGATCTGAGAATATGCTTTTCTTTCTTTATTTTGTGCCTGTACAGAGGCTTAGAGCCAGGGGTTGGTGTAATCCCTTAGCTTTTCCACTCTACCAATAGGCTTTCTGGTGGATAATTGGTGACTAGAGTCTCATGGACTTTTCCTGCCCTGGGCTGGCTCCAAACTGATCCTCAGATCTCAGCCTCCTGAGTAGCCAGGATTACAGGTGTCTGGCTGAGAATTACATATTTAAAGCAAGTTCTCAAGTGATCCTAGCAATGCACTGGTGGATAACCACTAATTAGAACAGGAGTGTATTTATAATCTACCAATTTAATTAAAAAACAATATCCATAGTCTAAAATTATAACCATTACTTATTTTTTATTTATCTTATATTTTATTTATTATATATAATTATTGTGATTCTGTGGCTAAACATTATAAAGTTGTTTTGAAGTTGTTTGACATTTGTTCTTTTTTGTTGTTGTTGGTCTTGGGGCTTGAACTCTGGGCCTGGGCACCATCCCTCAGCTCTTCAGTTCAAGGCAAGTGCTCTACCACTTGAGCCACAGCACCACTTCTGATTTTCTGGTGGTTTATTGGTGATAAGAGTCTCACGGACTTTCCTGGCTGGGCTGGCATTGAACCATAAGCCTCAGATCTCAGCCTCCTGAGTAGCTAGGATGACAGGCGTGAGCCACTGGTGCCCAGCAACATTTGTTCTTTTGATAGAAGTACATTATACACATATATGGAAATACAGTGAACACTTTGTTGTG